CACCGAGTCATGGGTCAGGTAGGTGTCGCAGTAGTCACAATAATACCTGCACGGTAAGAACAAGAGAGAAGTCAGAACACGAGCTAAGACATAAATCGAAAAGAACATATACAACAACGCAGCAGACAGAGGCAGGTAGTATCATCTAACTGGCTCCCGGTGAGCAAACCCAGACCCCAATCACACCGCACTGTGGAATCAACCAGCGAGATCTAGGCGCAAATCATGGAACACCAGTGCTAGGGTTTCAACGCCTATCACCCCCCACCCCACAACCGCACCCCCGCGGATGGACATATGGGCGCAAGTTGAGTAGCCAAGACGAAGAAGCACTCACCGAGGCATCGCAGCGGCGGAGGACGGCAGCGGCGGAGAAGGGGATCGCGTCTCGGTCGAGAACGGAGTCGGAGGCTCGGAGCAAGAGCACCAGTCTGCTGCGCCCTAAACCCTTGCCAATACGAGCCGCTCGAGAGTTCCAGCCTTCCAGGACCCTTAAAGGGCTGGGGCGGTCAGTGGCAAGTAGGCCCATCTGATTCGGGCTCGATGACGGCCCATAAGCTGAGTCCTGACCACCGGCCACCGCCCCTGCGTAGCGAGTACTTCGCCCTCGTCATTCGTCAAGGCGCAGCGCAGCCGCCATGGCGCGTCGCGGTGTACAGCTCCTGGTGGCACGGGGGATCTCCTCGTCGCCGTGCCTTTCTCGGAGGATCAAGCAAACGGGTGAGGCGCGTCTTCCTTGTTTCACTTATTTCGGTTTCCTAGCTCGCTTTCGAGGAATTCCGGGTAGTGTCAGTACCCTGCCTATCAGTGTGTGCTTAGCACATTTTTGGATTTCGCATGAAGTTTTAATGAGAACTAGATTGATCTAAGTAAGGTCGGATTTATAGAGATCAGACAAAATCGAAAGCAGTGTGGTCGTAGTGGGGCTATAAATTGGGATGGATGTAGATTTGTGTTGGGAAACATGCTTTCAACGACCTGGTGTATCCAAAAATAAAATAAAAAAACGATGGATTCTTTTGATATGTCACCAGAATGCCGAACAGACACTAGTGAGGAGTCACGATGTACTGTATATGCAGCAAAAAATGTATTGCACTTTGTTTTATTTGGGCTCTGCTAGAGTTTGTGGGAATTCCCAACCTCAGCTTTATAATTGCAAGAGGGAAGATATTACATAAGTCAGATTTGATGAATTGCTGACACATAATATGTCTGTTGATATTTAGCAATGTAATAATGTGAAATTTGCTATGTTTAGTATGAGTAAATTAATTCCTATGTTCAATCAGTACCAGAAACCAAGTAGAATGAATTTCCAACAAACATAGTTCACAAGTTGTCCTTCCAGATTAGAAGCTGAAGCCAGTCTTGATTTGACGTGCGTTTTGTTAGTTTTAGTTTTAAAAAAAAAAAAAACTTTTCTAATGATGACTGATGCTACGTTTTTTCTTACTATCTTTTCCCCTTTCCTTGACCACTCTTGATTTTTTGGCTTTCAGAAAGTGAGATTGTTCGGATGTTTCATCCTCCAGTTCGTCAGAGTGAGGAAGCAATAGCAACCACTGTGCCAAGATACGCGCATTCTGTGCGTGTCTTGGATGAGAGGTTCATTAGGATCCTGAAGATATTCAAGTGGGGCCCTGATGCTGAGAAGGCACTGGAGGTTCTCATGCTTAGAGTTGATCACTGGTTGGTACGGGAGGTTATGAAAACTGACATTGGGGTCAACGTGAAGATGCAGTTCTTCAGATGGGCTGCAAAGCGGAGGAATTATGAGCATGACACATCCACTTACATGGCATTGATACGTTGTTTGGAAGTAGTAGAGCAGTATGGTGAGATGTGGAAGATGATCCAAGAGATGGTACGGAATCCCATTTGTGTTGTCACCCCAACAGAGCTGTCAGAGGTAGTTCGGATGCTGGGGAATGCTAAGATGGTCAGCAAGGCAATTGCAATCTTCTACCAGATCAAAACGCGGAAGTGTCAGCCAACTGCGCAGGCATATAACAGCATGATAATAATGTTGATGCATGAGGACCAATATGAGAAAGTCCATGAACTATACAATGAGATGAGCACTGAGGGTCATTGCTTCCCAGACACTATGACGTACAGCGCACTGATTTGTGCTTTCTGCAAACTAAGTCGCAGTGATTCAGCAATTCAGTTGTTGAATGAGATGAAGGAGAACGGAATGCAGCCAACTAGCAAGATATATACAATGTTAATAGCTTTGTTCTTCAAATTGGATGATGTTCATGGAGCATTGTGTTTGTTTGAAGAGATGAGGCATCAGTATTGCCGACCGGATGTATTTACTTACACTGAGTTGATCAGGGGCCTTGGTAAAGCTGGCAGAATAGATGAAGCATATCACTTCTTCTATGAAATGCAGCGAGAAGGCTGCAGGCCAGACACGGTTGTTACGAACAATATGATAAATTTCTTAGGCAAGGCTGATCGTTTGGATGATGCTATGAAGTTGTTTCAGGAGATGGGAACATTGCGGTGCATTCCTAGTGTGGTGACATACAATACTCTCATAAAAGCACTTTTTGAATCAAAATCTCGTGCTTCTGAGGTTCCATCTTGGTTTGAGAGAATGAAGGAAAGTGGAATCTCCCCCAGTTCATTTACCTATTCTATCCTGATTGATGGATTCTGCAAAACCAACAGGATGGAGAAGGCCATGATGCTACTGGAGGAGATGGATGAAAAGGGTTTCCCTCCATGTCCAGCGGCATATTGCAGCCTGATTGATGCTCTTGGAAAAGCTAAGCGCTATGATCTTGCTTGTGAGCTTTTTCAGGAACTAAAGGAAAATTGCGGCTCGTCCAGTGCTCGGGTGTATGCAGTTATGATTAAACACTTAGGAAAGGCTGGACGGCTTGATGATGCTATAAATATGTTTGACGAAATGAACAAACTTGGTTGTGTTCCTGATGTTTATGCGTACAATGCTCTCATGTCCGGATTAGCAAGAACGGGCATGCTTGATGAAGCTCTTAGTACAATGAGAAGAATGCAAGAGCATGGGTGTATTCCTGGTATCAATTCATACAATATTATCCTTAACGGGCTGGCAAAAACGGGAGGACCTCATCATGCAATGGAGATGCTTTCTAACATGAAACAATCTACAGTAAAACCTGATGTTGTCTCTTATAATACTGTCCTTGGTGCCTTGAGTCATGCTGGCATGTTTGAGGAGGCAGCAAAGCTGATGGAAGAGATGAATACATTGGGGTTTGAGTATGATCTTATTACATATTCGTCTATACTTGAGGCTATTGGAAAGGTTGATCATGAATATATTGGCCAGGGTTGCTGATGGGCAATAGATGGTGTTGTTTGTTTTCCACATAACACACCTAAATGCAGGCTTTCTTTCTTGATAAAATATTCTTTAGGAGAGCTTTATCTGTTTGCATGTGTGAAAAGATGTGCCTCATGCTTACTCAGGTGGATTGTTGTAAAAAAGAAATACCGAAGGCTGAAACTGATGAAACTGTAAAGGTGTATATTTCACTAATTGATCATGTCTCATGTATTGTCCAGTCCTATTACTTTTGAGTATCTTTTGCTAATACACAATTACAAGTCTAACTACAGTTAGTTTTTACGAAAGTGCGAATCATCTGACAGTTTTTCCTGAAAGATTTGAGATCATTGAAGCACAAGCCTAACTACTGTATGTTGAGATGTTTCTTCAGCAACCCACATTCACAGGTATACATTCCTGAAGTCCAAGCAGGTGTTACTGTGCACAACTCTATTTTTTTCAATCATTCTATTACAGTGAAAGAAAAATATGGAACACTTATTTGTCACACATTTCTCTTGTGTGGCCATGTCCTCGATTTGGACATGGATAAATGATAAATCCTGGTTTCCTTTTGATGTTGGCACTGCTGAAAGCCTAAAACTGACTTTTATTTCCGGTTACTACTCTAATGGGGCCAATGTCTGGACTTCTTTTGTTTCATGGTAGCATCAAGATGTTCCATGGAAAAGAAAGGTTCCTGGGTCAAGCTATGTAGGCATCCACATTGCAGATCTACCTTCTGCTACTATCATGTAAAGAGATTCCATTCCACCGAAAGACAATGCAAGAGCAAGAAGGCAAGTTTGGGATCAACACTGCTCTGGAGGCACATGAAGTTGCATGCTTAACTATTAGCCTCTGACAGAGCCTCTTGTTACTGAGATTCCTGTATAAACTGTGCATGTATGGTCCTTGCCATATACAGATACGCTCATGCACTTGAGCACAGCTCAACGGCATGTGAACAATCACATTGTTTTCTGAAAGTGAATGTCATCACATGACCGATTCGTGCATTTGTTTCTGAATCCTGGTCCTGACCATGGTCACACCTGGGCCAGCTGATGGGGCCAGTGATGTGAAGATAAGGATTTCGTAAAAAAGAACTGGTCATGTAAATTTTAGTTAGGATTCAAACTCAATTATTTCCACTGTCAAATCTGAATTATTTATGCACGTACTGTGAGTTACCGATGTATAAATTCAAGTTCGACTCAAACATCAACTCAGCCTGACATATCAGGGTCATGGGATGATCAACATACCATATGTGGCACTAGCTATTCCACAAATATCAAATATTTTTAGAAGATCCAGAAATGAATGAATGAGCTACTGCTCGCATCAAAGAAATCTTGCGGTCTTACTTCTGTAGGCAAGCACCGGACCTCTGACACTGATTGTTAGGGCATGAATGTATAATTGTATATACACAGGTAATATTTATTTATATGTATACCTCATCTGGAATAATATAGGAATTCAAGGAATTACATGCATTTTACTACTACACTGCTACTGTTGGACGGCATCAATCTAGCAATGACTAGATACAACAGAAAGAATAGCCAGAAGTGTTTAAGGATGAGACCCTGTCATTGTACGGCCATAACTTCATCTTTGGAGACAAGCAAGAAATAATCAAGAAAAATTCTCCTGAATTTACATGTCACTGCAATTGCCGTTGTCTGGAAATCTGCCGAAGCCCTGCTTCCAGGTCTTCCAACGTGATCGTGATCATAGTATCAGTGTCGTCGCAGTTGAAATCAAGCCGTGAATCCAGGTTCTCACGGGCATTGATGAGCAGTGTGTCTACAAGGCCTCCATTCATCTGTTTCCGCCGCTCTTCGGTGGTCTCTCTGGCAATCAGCTCTCCAATGACTTCAATGCTGCAGCTTGGGTGCAGCTTAAACCCATAAAGCAAGCTACTCTCACTTGGGCTCTTCATCTTCATATGTAGGATCTCTGCTAGTTCTGTCGTGCTGAAATCGTCAAAATAGAAGAATTTTGTGACCCGCCTACAGAAGCCATCATTGGAAGCGATGACTTGCTTCATTGGCTCACAGTACCCAACAAATATGACAACAATCTTGCCACTGTCCATTACAGACATTATCTCCTCCAAGGCTTCTAAACCATAATCCTTGTCGTCAGATTTTTGCATTGGTATCAACCTGTACGCTTCATCCACGAAGAGAATACCTCCCTCTGCGTCTTGTATCTGTTGAACCATGATCATGGTAACAATGTATTATGTAAGGTAGAACATGTAATAGAAATAAGTTCAGAATTTGTTTCACAATTTCTCTGAAATTGAAAATTGTGCAGCTGACAAAGCCTTTCTGACAAAAAATAGAGGATAAAATACCTTCCTCCTAGTCTTTGGTCCAGTATGCCCCACGAATTCTCCAACAAGATCAGTTCGCTGAACTTCAGTTACTTTGTCAGTAGGGAGAATTCCAACCATGTGAAGGAGCTTTCCAAGAATTCGAGCAACCATAGTTTTGCCTGCAATAGAGGATGGATAGTATAAACAGAATATTGATGTTTTCAGTACCTATCTACCCGAAACTTGTGCATTTTACTGCACTGTACATGTAAGTGCAAAATGTATAAGAAGCAGGCAAATTTACAAAGAATGTAGCCTTTTAAGGACATGTTTAGCCAAACTTCCAGGTAACTACTCTTAGTTCATGATCAGAGCAAAAGCTCCCAACGAGATGTTTAGTATCGCATAGCTGATTGTAACTGTACCATACAAACCCAATGCAATGATGCGCAACACTATGAAACCACCTTAAGGATAACCCATGACAAAGCATTTGATCATAGAACTGAACAGAACTGTGGTAACACAAAAAAGGTTGCTTCTTTCGAAATTTTACCAGTTCCCGGATTGCCAAGAAATGCCATATGGGGAGCTCTCCTTCTAGCAATCCCTAAGCCCATAGCCCGTCGCTTCTCATCAAAAAGCATTCCCCTTGCCCATCGGCGCAATTGCATTTTTAGCTCCTGCAATCCAACAATTTGTGATATTGCCTCTTCAAACTCTGACATTGCTTTCCCTTCAAGGCATGACATGAGAGCTTTCTTTTTTCTTTGCTCTTCCATATGATGAGTGAGGAGTTTCAGCAGCTTCTCACTACCAGCTCCTCCTGGAATATGATTTAAGGGCATTTTGCCTTCCTGGTGGATAGATGTTATAACAAACCTTACCACATTGTAAATTATAATATGATTTTAAACAAGTAATTGAAAACCATTACTGTGAATCAAGTAGTACATCATCTTTCGCAAAGCAATCCGCGTTGTAGCTTAGTAACACGCTAACCGTGCTGCAGTCTCCAGCTTGAAGTGCATGCCAGACAGCTAAATGCAATGGTGTCATGCCGTTCTGCACCACCATGGGTTGAACGTAATAAAATTTGTGCATGCAATACGGGAACCTCAAAGGAAATGAAAAGAAACAGAACGTAATAAAATTTGTGCATGCAATACGAGAACCTCAAAGGAAATGAAAAGAAACAGGTAGATCATACATTGGCTTCGGCTTCTATGTGTGCACCATGTTCAAGAAGTAGATTTGTTGATCCGCAAGAACTGTTCTTCACTGCCATATGCAGAGGAGTCTCTCCATACTGTCAAAAAATGAGATAATTGGTTTATGTATTAAGCTCGATGCATGAAAGAGGTGTGGCAGAGTACCCAATCAGATGCAAAAGAAATGTGGCAACTTAATTACCATGTTCTTTGCCTCCAAATCAACTGTTTCTGTACCTTGCTGGTTAAGCAAGAACTTGACTATTTCTGTATTATTGTAGCCAGCAGCAACATGAAGTGGCGTTTGACACATCTGCAAATTACTATATTTTCAGAGAGGCAGATCGCACAATGTTTAATTAGTTTCCGCCTTGTAAATGACTAGTGTAAGCTGTGTCAGGAAGGCAATTGATGCCTCAGCCAATAAAGTCAGGTTAGTGCATTACAGCAGTATAGGATATAGGATAATCAGGTCACAAAACAGAAAGGTCTAAACTCTAGATTAGCAAATGCAAGGCGATAAGAAGGCACACGAAAGCGAGCCCGCCTAATGGAAATGGCCGCAGAGATTTTTGAAAGGAGACCAAAAGCAAATCGTAACTACATCAGACCTAACAAATTAATCTTGCCTGCAAAGAACCAAACACGCAAGATAAAAACAAATCTCGAGAGCAAGTGTTTGACATTCCGAAATCCGGGGAATTTTTAAACAGGACAGAAGAAATAAAAGAACACAATAAAATTATCAATCATTAGTATATCATCTTCTTGGCCCAGAAAGCATCGAAACGGCAGCGACAGAAGGAACCAGACGAGAAACGCATAGGCTACACAATGGAGCAAATGAGCAATTAAAGTCGCAATCAAGACGGAACGCAAGCTAAACGCGCACTAAAGAAGAACGGGAACGAGGAGCAAACGCCGCCCCACCGCCCAAGAAATCTGTTCCAAGAAAAGGAACTATAGAAAGCACAATACCAAAGGGCAAATTAGCCAACGCCGCCTCACCGCCCGGGACAAATTCAAGAACCGGCTCAAGAAAGTCAAGCTACGTTTACACGACTCCGAGCAAACTCACGTTTCTCCACATTAAAGAAAAAGAAATCAGTTCCTAATGAATCTAATACGCTCACCCCTCACAGCAAGCATCAAGAACCGTGAAACCGACCAAAGATCGTATATTTCATTTCTTTAAGCGAGAAAAGAAGCACGGATGCTGCACGCACCACGGGATTCTTGTCGTTGAGGAGGGCGGTGTTCTCCCGCAGCTTCCTCTGGACGCCGGCGAGGTCGCCGGCGCGCGCAAGACCGTGGATGGTCTCGGCTTTGACCGGCCGAGGCCTCGGCCCCCCGTTCTGGCTCCCCGGCATCTCCTCCCTCCCCCTCCTGTGAACCTCCACCTCCGTGTGTGCGCCCGCGCGAGCGCTCTCCGTGTGAGTGAGTGTGAGGAGGAGGTGCCGTCGAGGAGGAGGAAGAAAGGGAGAAGACGGCGAGGCCGTCAAGAGGACGGGGCGACGGGACCAGTGCTTTCGCTGTAATTGGCCTTTTAAAAATAGTCGCGTTTCTCGCATTAATTTTTGTTTTTTTATTTTTATTACTTTTTTCTTGTTTTATTTTTGGCATGTATCCCGGATTCACTCTGCTAGTGGGCTGAAACCCAACCACGTAACCACACCAATCCATACAATATTCAACAAAAAATAAACCCACCGCAATCCTATTCCGTCGTCTACAGAAACCAACCCACCCCCACGTATACTGTACCAAAGCATTGTATACTGTACACCAAAGTTTCAACCCACTAAGAAACCATAAAAACAAATGGTTTTACAAGCTCACAACCATGACGAACGAGCAGGGTGCTTTGACAAGGCAACTGATAGATTAGTGAGCAATCTTTCCACACAGGACACGTACATGCATGTGATCAGTGCATATTGATCACTTTGGGAGGAACAAACCTTCGATGTGGCAATATAATCTGTCCTCTACCAGTGAGTTCACACATTCAATAAAGTGACATGATCTCGATCTATTCAACAAGTTAAAAGCATGTTCATACAAGTTGCACCATGTTCCACACTATGAAAAGCAGCACCATGGTCACAGAAATAATACAGACAAATTCAGCTCACGGTATTTTCATAACTGCAACAGGATGCAATTTTCTGAAAACAGATAACAGGAAACAACCATGTCTTCATATCAAAACGCTGACTGGTCACAAAGAGAAGACATGTTCACACTAGAAATAACTTCTTCCTCGACTTCTTCTCAATCTGCCACATCAACTTCAAAGCACTGCAGCAAGAAATGCAACAGCTCACTATATTCAGAAAGGTTTGAACAGAAGCAGTGTAGGTCAAGAAACAAGCAATGGGGATCAATATATTCAACAGTCAACCAGAAATTTACTACTGCCAGAAATTAGCTATATATACTTCTAAATTTGATTTACTAGCTAAGATCACTCAATCAATATGCTGGAAATCACTAATTGGCTAATACACAACAGCATATGCTGCAATTGAGCAATTTCAGAGCGTAGACTCAAGCAATATGCTGGAATCACTAATCGGCTAACACTCAGTAGTATGCACAGCAGATGCACCAGCAAGCTGCAGACATATAAATCACCCAAAAAAACAATTTCAGAGTGTATGTGGAGTAATAGCCAAAGTAAATTATCTCCTCAGTACATACAAAAATTTTGAAAACTTCCTTGTGGCAATGCCGAGAACTAAATAAAGGGCACTATAACACAACAACTCAGCAAGCTTGCGTATCAATTTCCAGTTGCTTATTAGAAAAGTAAAAATGAACGAAAAAAAAGGGGACAGGAAAAAGGTACTGATCCTCCTAAAACGTGTCAATGTAAGAACTTGTAAGTCTGCATAGAACAACATCCTTTCCTACTTGCAGATAACAGCATCTCTAGCTGTGATAGCTAAAAGTACTGACAGACAGACCAAAGTACAGATAAGGAAGGTCTATCAAAAGTTAAAATACAAAGCAACTGCAGCATAGATACCTGAAATTTCCTAAGGCAATTTTAGAGTTGTACTGTAGCTTCCAGCATTATAGATAGTTGGATCAATTTTAGAGTTGCACAGTTTCAGATTAAAGCAGATCTGAGCAACTAATTACGACAGGAACTTATAAGGTTGACATAGATATATCAAATCAAACACTAGCATGGATCCAACTAAGCTGCAGTACATAGGCCAGACCAAACCACTAATCAAACCACTAAGAATGCAGTACATAAACAGGGCTGCAGCCAAGTGTTCTAGAAACAAAATTTCTCCATGCCGAAAACAAGGAGGCATGTATAAAATTTCAGAAGAGAACTTTTTACCATTCTTGGCTACAGATTTGTGCCAACACTTTCGAGGTTAAGGCCCCGCCGGCTCAGCTGGTTCCACCTATTCAAGAGGCTTTTAGTAAAAACAGAACAGACCTATATGCTACAAATAAATACAAAAAAAGTGGTCCAATGTTGTACCTAATTATCCATACCCACGATGTGAATACAGAAGGCACTAAGACAATAGTCCCTACATACACTAGCAGTAAAAAAAACAAAGAAGAGATTCAAAAAGGATATTAACAACTCAGTCCTGAAATACTTCAGGAACTGTGCCGTGGAAACACAGAGATGAGGAGATATGTCAGTCTACAGAAACAGTAATGTGGCCAAAGGTGGCTTAAAAGCCAAAATATAAATAATTGCCAATTTGGACGGGAAAGAAAGCTAATCATTGGAACTAATCATACTTAATTTACATGGACAGGAATAACAACTTATCAATTGCTCCAACTAGGATCAAGGAAAACGGGGTGAATTCAGAAAAACTAAAATATTGAACTATGTGGCCACTTATTGAAGCTTACTTATGTCATATCCATAAACTATCATCTGAACAATATTAGGCTGGGCATGGCAATGTCAATTTCACAACAAGTTCACCAAATCACCAATTTTCAGGACACTGCTAATGCAAAAGTATATGTAAACAATCAAAATAATTAGTTCTAGAGAAGCTAAACATAAATGCCTTGAGAAGACATCAATGTCAATCTCCAACATATATGCATGCCAGTTTAGGATGATTAAGATTTAAGAAAATCATTTAATACTACTCCCTCCAGTCCAGGTCAAAGTAGACCAGAGATCGAGGGTGTGCTCACCAAAGACGGTGTTGATGGGGATCATGGTGACCAGATAATTGGTTGCATCTCCAATGAGCGAAATCCATTTCAGCAATGGCTGCATCTCCAATAGGCGGGCTTGGGTAGTAGCTGTGAATCCACCTCGCTCCTCCTCACGGGATCCATAAGGCGTTCTTGGAGGCACCTGCGGACATCGCACGATAGAGGTGACCAGGGATCCATGATTTCGTTTCTTTTGAAAGCAAGATTCAGAAAAACAGAAGAGGAAGGAAAGGGAGAAGGAGGCGGAGAGAAAGCACGCACATCTTGGAGAGCGGCGAGCTAGGGTTCCTGTCGGTGCCGGCGCAGACCAGTCTGATGGCGGCGGGCGCAGGCGAGAGTGAGATCCAGGGGGTGGAAAGACTCCTCTCCTACGCCGACGAACTCGTGGGCGTCCTCCGCGCCAGCACCGACCGCGACGGCATCGCGCAGCCTGTCGATCCGAGTCTGACGACCTCGAGCTGCACCCGACGGTGATGCGGCTACCCTCGGCCTGCCGAGCAGGCCGTAAACGAGCAGGCCGTAAACGATCGTGGGGTGCGATCGTGTACGATCAAACAAACAGGAAGCCTATTTAAAAACATAAGTCGTACTTTTCATCTAACCAACAATATTTTTCTTCTTTCTCGCGGTTTACGGAGGAATCAAGTGTTGGAAACTATATTTGATTTTCAATAGGGTAGCCGTCCCCACCCAACCAAGATTCCAACTGGTGCATATATATCGTGGCATTGCTCTCTCATTTTTCTAAATTTCCTTTTTTTTAGCATTATTTTTCCAAATTTGCTTAATCCCTGCTTGGCTGCTGTTCCTATTTCGGTCAGGGAAGCCAAGAATAAGCTGCCAAGGAACTTTGACTCACGAGAACCTTTACCACCTACCGTACGGCGAGGCGTGCGTGAGTAACCGGATGAGGTGGTGTTTAAATTTGAAGTTTTAAGACGTTATATCACGTGTTATATCGAAGTGTTAAATGAAAGTATTTCGATAATAATAATAAAATAAATTATATAAGTCATCGGTAATATATGAAACAAATTTATTAAATCTAATTAATTCGTCATTAGCATATATTTATTGTAGCACCATATTATCAAATCATTGACTAATTAAACTTAAAAATTCATCTTACAAATTAATCATAATATATATAATTAATTATTTTTAGTTTACCTCTAATATTCTGTGCGTCTATGCGTGTGTCTAAATATCTCAAGTGACAGGGAGAAACTTTAGACAGACAAAATAAAGAAGGCCTGAATCGCTGTCGGTGGGCGGGCGTGGGTCTGCACGTGGGGAGCCGTGTCGCACTCGCACCGCGCCGCAGGTCCAGGTCAGGGCCTTGTTTAGTTTGTAATTTTTTTTTCATTTTTTTTTATCGCATCAAATTTTTAAATATATATGGAATATTAAATATAGATAAAAAAATAACTAATTATAAATTAAGAGATGAATTTTTTAAGTCTAGTTAAGTCATAATTAAACTATAATTATTAAATATAAATAAAAATACTACGGTGCCAAATATTAATTTCTGACTTCAATTTAAACGAGGCCCAGGTCCAGCTCACCGGAATCCAAAAGCCAGTGGGCACTGCCCAGTGCGGCACCGGCAGTGCTCACGGAGTGAGTGTCAATGGTCGAGCGCAGAATGAGTGCAGTCTCGACGTAAAACTATCATATACAATTTTCATAGCTTTCATATACAACAGTTTTTTTCGTACGGATTTGTATTCCGTACTCTTTTCGGTCCTCTTTCTTTTCGGTTTTTCTGTACTAATACTATATATATTTTCGGTCCTCTTTCTTTCCGGCTTTTTCAGGTTTCTTTTTGTTGGATTCAAGAATTTTATTGGACTTGGTCTAATTTATCAATTAAAATCAAATTAAATTCTTAGTCCCACGTGAAATCAAATAAATCTTAAATGTGCAATCAAAAGATTCAGTCGTGATTTAGTCCTGTGTAATTAGTTTTTTTTTTACGTGAGAATTTAAGCTCGGCTAAAAATTGATGTGATGGAGAGAGAGTGAAAAAACTTGGAATTTTGAGGGTATCTAAAAATAGGTGTTTATTTACGCCGAGCCTGATTGAGTTGGGCTTTCACGACATGGTACAGAGTAGGCTGATTATAGGTGGATTGATTGTAGTTAATGGCCAAGTTTGTAACGGTCACGATTATGGTTGTGGTTACTATCAGCTCATATAATTATGGCTCTACTAAACAGTAACTCATGGTTATGGATGTAGTTACTAGGAACTTCTATGTTTATAGCAGTGGTTACTAGTGATTGATGAGCGCTTCATGACGTTCTGGTTCGTCCTATGCGCTTCACCTTCTACCTCCCGTGTCTATAAGAAGAAGTGCTTGTCTTCAGCCTCACTTATAAGCAACATACATCTAGCGCCAGTGGTGAAGCTTGAAGAGGATTCAAGGGGCTAATAGTATTCAAGTTATTAATATTGTGCGAATTTTTATAACTTTCTATTGACTAAATATAGACATCATTAAGAAAAATGCAATCACCAGGGGGCATGGCTCACTTTGGCTTCCACATAGCTCCGCCACTATCTCGCGCACCATTGTTCTTCTATTGCTGCTGCTTTCTAGTTTTCTCGTCACAAGCATTGGGAGAGCATGCCTACAAAACTTATGGTGCTTAGGAAAATTAACTAATGAGATTAGGAACCTAATAAAAATTACATGACTTTGTGACTTATGGTGCTTTGTTATGTTTTTTGAGAAAATAAATTGGTTTTTATTATATTTAGAAAATACAAAACAATATTTTAAAGCAGCTATTGTCCTGTATTTGATAGTTCAGTGATCAAACATCACTAGTTAACTTCAAAAAAACACCACTAATTTTAAAAGAGCAGAAATGCTCTCCTCAGAGCATCCGACGCTCCGAACGTGTCCTTTCTAGGCTTGTGTAGCCCAATACGTAGCTTGCTCTCAATTTTCCCATAAAAATGTCGATTCCCCATACATCCCGTCGTGGCCTTCTTTCACCACATGCATGCGTCTTCCGCGGGGCGACTCCACGTGCCGCCCGCCCATCGCTCACCTTCCTAGCACGAGGGACGCTCGCCGCGGGTAGCGCAGTCACCCCGCGCTGTCACCTCCACCGTGGGGGACCGCACCTGCCTGCCCCTATTCGTTGGGAGCCGTGTTGCGGCTCATCGGTGGTCGCACAACCACTCGCCAGCCACACAGCCGCCCGCCCACTGGCATCTCCCCTCCCCCACGCCACTCCGCAGCATGAAGCTCCGTGTTGATGAGCCTCCATTCATCCAAGCAGCAAGTAGATGCTATGCGGAAAGCGCATATTGCAAGAGTATGTTTCAAGTGTTTTAAATGTTACAAGTGTTGTATATCGATGTTGCAAAAGTATATTATGATGTTGCACATGTTTATAATGGCTATACACGTACGTTTTAAGTGTATGTTCCAAATGTTTTATCTGTTCCAGACTACGTTGCAAGTGTTTTCTCTCGATTTTGCAAAAGTAGATCTGGATGTTGCATATACATACATGTTGCAAGCATATGTTTTCAAGTATTTTATGTGTTTTCATACGTATGTTGCAACTATTTTATCTGGATGCTGCATATATTTTGTAATGGTTTTCAAGTGTTTTTTGGCGTTTTCGCAAGTGTTTTTGACGGTTCAAGTGTTTCATCTTTTTTTTTTATGTTCGTGGCTGTTGCATCTAGATATTTTAAAATAGATCGAGTGTTGCACATGAGATGTGCGTGGAAAGCGGCCGGCGGCGTGAACGACATCCGAAGCAACATGGGCCTACTGCTAGGGGCTCGCTCGCTCTGCGGGCACCGTATGCTACCGCCACACGTCGGACATTAAAAGAGTTGCATTGTAAAAACAAAGACAAAATGGACTTCTTGCTAACTTTTTTTCCCGATGGCCATATTAGTACATTTTTTTATACCTTGCCGGGAGCATTAAACCCTGCAGCCGTTCATCCCTATCTCCCCCGCTCAGCTCTGGCCATGCCGCCTCTCCTCTTCTCCCTCCGGGCCTCGCCCTGTTCAGGCTTCCCGCTCCGCCGCCTTCTTCTATTCCGCTGCTCCGCCTCCTCCGCTACCCGTTCCTCGTCGCTCGCCCCTTACCACGCTTCCTTCGCCCGCCGGATGGCCCTCGCCGGCATCCACCCGCACCACCGCATCGGTTCGCCCCTTCTCCCGCTCCGCTGTTTTAGTCACATTTCGTTTCAGTGGGTTTGAACTTGCTAATTCGGGTTAATTTTCTTGGTCGGTTGCAGCAGTCGGGGTCTCCGGCGGACCGGACTCGATGGCGCTGTGCGTGCTCGCCACGGCCTGGAAGAAGGCGGCGGCGCGGAAGGCCAGTGATGAGGAGGGACCCGTCGCCTCAGCATTCGTGGACGGGCTCCTAGGAGTTGTCGTCGACCATGGGCTGCGGCCCGAGAGCGCCGATGAGGCGCGTCTAGTGCGTGACCGCGTCCGCGGCATGGGTAATATCATATACTTAATCTCGTAGAATTTATTGTTTGTTTGATCTTTAGTGAGAACTTTTATAGAGGTAGTCGAGCGCCTGGACACAATCTATAAAGTTTAGGGGATTTCCAGCGCTTTCTGTTTCATTAAGAATGCTTAACCTGGGCTTGTGATCCTCAGGTCTTGTTTGTTTTGGAGGATTAGGGAGTTGTGGTGATAGCTGAAGTCATACCTCTGCCATTTGGCCGTTTTTTGAGGTTCTATGATTTTGTTGCAGGTGTTGAGTGTGAGATTGCTAAGTGTGAGTGGCCTGATGGTCGTCCAAAGCAAGGGCAGGTGCAAGAGGCTGCCCGCGAAGTGAGGTATTTGCCTTCCATTTTACTTTACCCCTTGTCTAACCTGATGCTACTGGGTTAATTTGACTTCCTGTAAACTTGGCATTTAGTGGCTCAAAGTTGGAAACCTGCTTATATTTAGTTTGTTCTGGTATTTATCTGAAATGCATAACGAATTTGTATTTTCTGGACATTGTTAACAACTTGTACCCCAAAATAGTCAGGGTTCCTTGTTAAAGCCTAACTGATGATGTTTATAGAACATATGACATATGAGATGAGTTTTTTGTACTTGTGTTCGCCCAAAATATGTACAAATCAATGATCTGGCTGACTGGTTGGAAACCACAGTTTTGGCAACTCTATTTGGCAAAAGTGTCACTGTGACATCCGACACAATTTGAATTTGGCCTATTGTGGCCCATGTTGTGTGTTGATGTGAGATTGTGGGTATTTAGTTCCACCTTGCGTGGTGAGGGTGAGTAAGACCGACATATGAGGTTTCTAGAATACGTCTCCAACCCTGGGTAACCCTTTTATGTGAAGCAAGGACGAAAGCGTAAGCGGGTTGGTGGGAGTGTGTGCTTCACTCTGCGTGCAGAGCTGAGCCGTTTGAACTCAGGCGTTACAGTCATGCCTTACATCTTCTGTGGACAAATTGTTTGTAACAACTGTGTCAAGAAATGCTTGTAGTAAACAATGTTATAATATGAGCAAAAATGATATTTCCCACAAAAATACCATGAGAGTAGGCACACAAGTGCTCTCCCAACATGATCATATACTGGTATTGAACAAGAGTGTATCATGTAGAATTGATATACAAGTGTATAACCAAATCTGGGCACGAGTTGATTTTAATCATGGCTCTCGGTTTTGATTGAGATATTAGGGTCCATGACTAAAGACTCCTGCTCCCTTGAACAACACAGGACGATTTTAATCATGGCTCTCGGTTTTGATTGAGATATTAGGGCCCATGACTAAAGACTCCTGCTCCCTCGAACAACACAGGACCTCACTAACAGGACAAAACAACTAGTCAAGGAACTTGAAGACACTGTAAAATTACATAGACTGCTGCTAACTTTCAGAACAAGGCAACGCAAAGATGTTACTCAACAGCAATAAAATGCTTTCTGAAGAATTAGAACGACAAGAATCTTTGGTCAAAACACAAATTATCACCAAGTCCTCAGTCCCTCACAAAAGTATATATGTCATTAATCCACAAGGTTTAAACCACTGTGCATGGTCAATTTCCCAGTGTCAGTGACAACCTAGCAACCTTGATCATATATCAGAAATATCACAAACAAGCTATCCAGATCAATAGAAGGAAAGACCAATGCTCACAGCGCGATGTGCCCAAACAAATCAATGATCGAGGCAAGGCACGGCTCACCAGCCACTGTCCCAGAAGTTCCTATGTGCCGTCGTTGCCGCTGGCATGGAGGACGGAGATACAGAGCTTCACTGCACCGCGAGTCACCAACATCACCTTGGCACCTTCTTCCAATCAGCTCACTGCACCACGTAAGCGCGTGCGGGCGAGCCTGGGCGTTGTACCAGTCACCAACACCACCTTGGCACCTTCTTCCAATCCAATAACTGTACGAGCTCTGCAGTGCACTCACAGGCCAGTAGGAAAAGGGAAAACAGGGGAGATTTTTCCGAGGTTAGTTGAATACTAATGCTTATAGAGGAGATCAGCCATGGAAGATGGTGACCAAGAACTGAGTCAGCTCCGTACTACGCGCTGCAGCTTCAATCCCAGCAGTCCATCCTCGATCTGTGCGCTTGCAGCCACTGCTGCACGGTGCACGATGGACTCAAGCATGGCCATTGCGCCACTGCCACTCTAGAATGAGAGCCGCCACTGCTTGTTCCACTCTGCTACTCAAAACCTAGCACTGCCTGTATTCCACGAGAAGTAGGGCTGGGCTAAAGAACAGAAGCAAGAAGGCCCAGAGAACAAGCTGGATTTGGCCCATAATCAGAATTTTCTACATTAAAATTCCATTAATCAACTACAATCATTTCTGTGACACATGGAGCATAATGCTAGGAAAGAGTTGCATCCGTAAGTTTGCCAACAATCACTAAATTAATGCTAAATTGTAACAAACCGTGTCTACTCCTGATACTGCTCTTGTATCCACTACACATTCTATATTTGTATAGTTTTATACTCCCTCCGTTCCAAATTATAGTTCACTTTAGCTTTGTCAGTCAAACTTCTCTAACTTCGACAAAGTTATAGAAAAATTCATCAAACTCTACAATATTAATTTAGTTCCATTAAAGTATCCTTGAATTATGTATTGATAATGCATTTATTATTTTAACTAAAAGATGTGTTCCTTCCATTCCAAATTATAAGACGTTTTAGCTTTTCTATATAAATAGGTTTTGCTATGGACTTAGATATACACTATGTCTAGATACATAGTAAAAGTAATGTATCAAAAAAAACTAAAACATCTTATAATTTAGAATGGAGGGGGTAATTGATATTAATATGTTTTTTTTTTCTAAGAACTTGTTCAAAGTTAGAGAAGATTGATTTAGAACAAAACTAAAGTGAACTATAATTTGGAGCAGAGGGAGTAGAACATTTCCTATAGCCTTGAACTCTATAAATGCACAGATGATTTCAACCAATGCAAAGAACTACTTTTTTTTAGCGGAAATGCAAAGAACTGTTGGACCCAAGAGGTAGGTATTCTAAAAAGACCACAACGTTCAACTTTGCATAACATCAAGGGCGTACCCAGTGCAGAGAGCTCCCGCTCTGTGCGGGGTCTGGGGAAGGGTGTAAGTTGCAAGCCTTACCCTCGCCTGTGCAATGCGAGGAGACCGTGACTCGAACCCGGGACCTTCCGGTCACAGGCGGTAAGACTCTACCGCTTGCACCAGGCCCGCCCTTCTCAACTTTGCATAACATGATAAAATTTAAATGAATGTTGAGGCCTTTGTGGTATATTTGTGTATACTGACCCAACCTATGCACTGGCAATTTATTGTGTCAATTTATTCACCTTGATAAAGCCTCATGTGTTAATAAATTCAGGTACCAAAAACTACTGGACATTTGTATAAAGGAACAGATAGGAATCTTGCTTATTGCACACCACTCTGATGACCAGGTCTGTTAAAGCTGGTTTAATTATTCTTGCTCTTTTGATGTTGATGGAGAAGTTATCCCAATTTTATAATTGTAGCTTAACAAATAAGACTTAGTTCTCAGTAGTAATTAACTTGGTATTAAATGATAATACTCCAGATAATTTACAAAATCTGGAATTCCCTCTTGTACAGTTATAAGCAATGCCTAGGAAAAAAGGGCCAGTTGATGAGTGTTTCCTTTTGTTGGTGAGTTGATGAATTCCTACTTGGTGACACATGCTCTGTTGCACATTACTTTTTGAATTTTTTTGGCGAGGAACTGGAACTAGATAGGGTATTATTGTGTGGTTATGTACTACCATGTCTTTTTTTGCCCATCCGTTTTCAGGCAAAACAAATGGATAGCTGATTGAGTGAACGAATTATATAGATTTCAGATTGAATAGACTTTTAAATTATATGTTGTAATTGTAACAGTACCCATTGAAGCATCAAATTGAGGTTTTGTGAATAGGCTGCACACTTGCATGATGTGTATTTGGTTTCCATGGTATTTACGTACAGTCATACTTTTTGTGTTAGAATTTATCTGAATGAGTCCAGTCATGTAAATGCAGGCAGAGCTCTTTGTTCTCAGACTATCTCGCCAAAGTGGGGTTTTAGGGCTTGCTGGTACAGCCTTTGTGTCTCAGTTGTTTGCATCTAATGTAAAATATGATGGGGAGAATTTTCGACGGTATGGCATTCTTCTTGTGCGGCCTATGCTTGAGTTTTCAAAAGATGACATGTATAAGGTGAGTTAAATCTCACTATATATATGGACTTATTAATGTGTTACCACTTACCGGTGGGTTGGCAGACATTTTCTCAGACCTTCTGATTATTGAGATTGGCTAGCCATCTTATATTTAAGTGTGTTCTTACAACTTCAACAATTTCTCAATCGGAACCAAAAGGATCTTTTTGTTGATTTAATCCCTTTTTTTTGAATAAGAAATTTCTTATGGACAGATTGAAGTGTATTGCCAATGTTTCTTGTTGCCAATCAGTTTAAGAATCATCTTTTCATATTGCAGTACCTAATTTTTCAATCTTTTTTCACAGATATGTCAAGGTAGTAATCAATCCTGGGTGGAAGATCCAACAAATACTAATATGAAGTATGCTAGAAACCGAATTCGGTCGTCTTTAAGAAAATTATCCACTGAAGGTCAAGCTGTACTTAAGCTGCCATGTTTGATTCAATATTATAGTCCTTTTATGTTGTTTTCACAATTAATTTGTTATGTATTCAATTTTAAATTCATATATCGTGCAGGATCGATGTTTATCAAAGTTGCGCATGCTTTTAGTTAATCAAATAATCAACTACACAATTTGAAAACTTGAAATGCATAACCCATAGACATTCACCAAAATTACTGAGCTTGGTTGACCATGGCTGACAACGCCTGGATAGTGTTATGGTACATCCCCAGTTGTGGGTCTGCCAACCAAAAAGGGACCATTTTCAGCATGTTCCTAGGTGGGTCTGGCCTTCCTTTGGTCCCTTTTCTCAACCCTTAAGAAAATTCCTTGCTGGGCTATCATCCCCCATAGGTTGGGGTTTTTTAAATCTATTTTTGTTTTGTTTTGATTGAACATGGCTACATTTTGCACAAACGGGCACAAACGAAAGTCCGCCTTCTGTTTGAGCCTGATGTCCCTCTTGTTTTCTGTGGTTAGGTGCCATGCTAGTTATCATAACAAACTCTGTGATTCATTTACTTGAATAATCACTGCTTGCCAGGTGGAGTTACCTCTTGTACTTGAAAACTGTGCAACCTTTCATGTTTCTTGTCCAAGTTAGACTCTTCTGGGAAGGCTGCATTTCGCCACAGTAGAAGTATGTCATTGATGCACATAAATCACGGATATCTGGCTAGTAGGTGTCTCAATGTCTGCACATTTCTTGAGGGCTAAAACATGACCTTCGTGCTACCAGATGAATAACTAAAGTTGTGTCTTTGTTAAACTAGTACACCGTCTGGTCACAGAAATAAGTATCTCTTTTTTTTACAACAATATGGCCTGCAAAACAACTTTGACCGTTAGTTTAATAGTTTCAATTATAGTTTATTATGAAGTGCAAGAAATTTTAAAAAATATGAAAGTAGTTTCCAGGATAATTTTTTTATATATTGTCACACCATCTTTTTTCTATCAAAGTATTAAAAAGTTGTTGATATTCAGATTTTTTTTTTAAAGTTCCACTGCGACATCCCAAACTACTTGTCTTCTGTTTCTGCAGGGAGTATGTGTGCAGTTAGCCTCGAGTGCATGAACACACATTATTCTGATAAATTCTTGTTTACATCAGGTACCTTTCTCTCAGGAGTTCATGAACTGATAAGCGCATGCCGGCTGACACGGGCATTTGTTGATTGTGCTTGCAGTATGATTGCAAAGCAGTCTGTGTCAATATCGGAGGTCCATCCTTGCTCTCTACTTAGATATGAAGTTTCCTAGCCTTAGGTGATTCTTGTGTTATTATTGTGTTTCTAGGCTGGCTTCTTCTCTTAAATATGTTTTCTGTCTTGCAGTATGGATATGCTATTATTGACCTGGAAAACCTTGGTCCGTTAAATGTTGACGACCTTAGTCTTTCACAATATTTAGCATATATCTTGCAGGTATGCATTAAATTGGATACTTTATTTGTTGGTAGTAGCAGATTTAATTCTTCATTTTTTTCTCTTTTGCAGTTTGTTTCACAAAGGCACAGGCCACTTCGTGGTAGATCTGCTCGACTGCTACTCGATTACATCCGTAGCAGTCCCTGCAAGGTTTGTTCTACTTAACGATTTCAGTGTTGTCTTGGAAACTTCTGAAATGATCAAATTAGTAGGACAGACATTTGTGGCTCTATATGCTGGTTCATGATAGATGAAATATAAAACATATATGCTTACATGAATACATGATTAGTCATTATGCAGTCGCTTAGGAATTCATTCAGCAGTGCTTGATTCTCATGCAGGCTGCCCTTACTGTAGCTGGTTGTTACCTTTGTGCTGTCCCAAGGTCTAAAGGTACAAAAGTACTTGTTTGTTGTTCTGTTGACTGGATCGAGTCATCTTCTGCTGAAACTTCCTACAAGTGTTCCTATGAAGAGCAGGCACCTCCAGTACCTGATATTGATCACATAGTCCTTGAAGGACATCTTCAGGCTAATCAGTCTATACAGAACCACTCGGACATACATTTTCTGTATTCCAAATCTTCCATAGATGTTCTGAACAAAGCGAAGGATCTCAACATAATAGATGATTTTACATTAGAAAAGCTCCATTACTTACGAACAGATGAGCACGATAAATTTATTGTGAAAGAACATAAACACGAAGAACAGGACCTGGAGGAAACAAAATTTCCTGATTGTAATGTTTTAAGCCTTTGTCCTGGTGAAACATGTCACTTTATGAGCAAATTCTTGATTACATGGAAAGCTCCAGAAGATGTCAATGAAATATGTTTGCTTGAAAATAAAGAATCTCTGTCCAAGTTTTGTACTGTGAATTTGGGTGGAAGTCTTGAAGTCCGGCACATGGTTGATACTGACTGGTTGTTCCTTGCTGAAGTTTGTAACACCCCTTCAGTGGAAGAGACCCTTAGTGATCCAAAAGCATCCTGTACCAAGATGGAAATGGATCCTGCACCGCATCACTCCAGATTCTTGCAACATTCAGCACAAAAAGCTCTTCAGATCCTTAGATCTATTCCAGCTGCTGCAAGACGAACACTTCCAGTACTAACCAATGCGCAAGGTGACGTAGTGTGTATACCGGTAAGTATAAGTATAGCCATCAGCATTACCTGATTTTCCTTGGAGTTGATGCTTTCAGTAATTCAATGTCTTTTGCTTTAAGAGAGGTCTTCTCCAATATCCTATCCGCTAACTCGATTGTAGTAATTATATTTAACTACTGCATGGCAAGTTAGACAACCTATCAACACTACCTGTAGAGTAAGTTAATGTGGGCAGTTACTGTATCACAATGTCCATTGGAAATTAGTGGCATCCTGGATTTAAAGGTTCTGGAGGCTTGGTGATAAATTGCATGCAATACTTTGGGTGATATTATATAGCCTTTTCTGAGAACTGTCTGGTTTTCTTGTACAATACAATTATGCTGTGTTTGCTACTTGCTGTAAATAAAAGTTGGTATTTTTCCTCCGGATAAACTTGTTATCGTGCTCAAGCTAATATTTCTCCTTATCAGAGTGTTGGCTTCAGATGTTGCCCTAGTCTATTGATAGAAGCAATATTTTGTCCAAGAGTACCTCTCGGTGGAGGATACAGTTCATATTTATGATTGATTGAGCTTTGTTTTGGACGAAATGAAACATTGGGTGGATATTCACTGCTGGGATAGTGGCTGCTGGTAAATATCTGCTGCAAAGGATTCTGAGTCACTTAGTTTATCATAATCTCTGTGCTTCTTATAACCTTATCTTAATGTTTTGTTCTTGTTAACCTCTACAGTTGCTGAATGATGCAATCTGTCTCGGCATCTTTGACTCAACCGTTCAACTTCTGCGACCAGTCCCAGTGGATCTTGAGTAGAAACGTTTACTTTGGCTTTCCCGTGACAGACAAGGTTGGTTATAACTGATAAGAGAACATATACAGCAGGGACAAGATTATGTAATCGCACTGAAGATACAAATAGAAATAATGTAAGCATACAGGTTCTTACAGGCGGGCCCAAGGGTTATTAGTATTTTGCCTATGCATCTTGAGTTTCTGAGTTTGCTCTTCCTCACTGATATAAGGATGATAGGTCCATCATGCTTAGGTATCTGTTGTGTAAAAGGATGAGCAATCAGGACACCAAGTATGCTGAATGGTGGGAGGGGCATCAATGCATCATCAAGGTCAACTTGTAGTCCCCAGTGTCGATCTGACATACCATGGATATAATTTGTTGGGATGATATCTGGTACAAATGCAAATTGATCTTTTTCTGCCAGTGTACAAGGTTTGTTCCGAAGGTTGTCAGAATATGAAACTTCCACCGCATTCCTTAGGCAACCATGGCATCCGCAACCCCCCTTTTTGTTTATTACAAGTGGCATTCTGACAGTGCCCCCTTAGCTTGGATCAAGACTTGTCGCCCCCCTGAGCTGGACGGTCTTTGTATATCCGACTTGCAAAAGATGAGTTGGGCTCTCCGAATGAGGTGGCTGTTGCAAAAACTGAACTTAACAAACCTTGGTTGACCTTTCCTGTACATGTTTATCAATGTGTACGGGCTTTCTTCTCCATGGCGGTCTGTACTGAAGTGGGTGATGGAGCATGCACCCTCTTCTTGTTAGATAAGTGGATACATGGACAATATATAGCTGATATTGCTCCCCATCTGTTTGCCTTGGTGCCCAAGCGGAAGACCAACAACCAGATGGTTTTCACTGACTTGCAGGGGCCTTGAATGTTGGTGCTCTTGATCTGTGGGATCTCCTTGCTCAAGTGAATTTGCAGCCCGAAGTGGATGATAGCACATTTGGCGTCTTGCACCTTCTGCGGGATATTCAGCAAAGTCGGCTTATGATAGTTTCTTCCAAGGATCAGTATATTTTGGCCCTTGGAAACACATTTGGAAGAGTTGGGTTCCGGGTAAATTTCGCTTCTTCATGTGGTTGGTTGTCCTATTGGATGGTTGATCGGCTGGCTCACCGGGGGTTGCAGCATCCCCCTCGCTGGCTCGCTGCCCATTGTCTGATCAAGAAAGTGAAACAGTTAATCACCTTTTGGTAGCATGTGTTTTCTCGTGGCGGTTTTGGTTTGGGTTGCTGCAAAGGGTGGAGCTCCATAACCTCTCTCAGCCGGGAGTGTTCCTTCGATGGCTGGTGGTGTAAAATCAGAGCAGGTGGACGGGCAGATTCAACAAGGTCTAAATTCTATTTTAATTCTCGGAACATAAACCATTTGGAACCACCGTAATCCCTTTGTTTTGATGGAGCCTCATCAAATCTTGAGAGCATCACGCTGTTGGCCGTTGAGATGAGATTATGGGGTTTGGCAGGGGCTAAGGGCATTGCTTACCTAGCTGCCTTATCTGATGGGAGGACTTAAAAGGTGTTCTGTACTCCTGGTCGTGGTAGTGATATGTGGTGTATCATGGTCAATTTACCTATCTGAGAGTGTTAAGTCGTTGGTGTGTGTTTTTGCAAGTTTTTTTTCCCACCCAGTTTTTCTTGTTCTTAATACAATGATACGTAGCTCTCCTGCGTTTTCAGGAAAAAAGTGACATTCTGTGGCTGCTGGTGGGGGTATAATCACCTCAGGCAGGATGAATGCTAACATGCTATTCTCTTGAACATTTTACACAATCTATGATTTTTTTAACTTTTAAGCCAATATCAATATGGTCTGTTAGCTTTTGGGAGGAACACTGAACTTGTAGGGCGTGATTGGTTTCCTATTTGGCTTTGCCAAGCCGGCGGTGTGCAAGTTTGATGATTGGATGCCTGAATGAGGAGTTCGGCCTGGCCGCCGGTTGCTGAAGATGCTCTAGCCGTGCTGAGGCGCGCGAGCAAGATGAAACAGAAAGTACATGGCGCTTGGTCGGGTGGGCAATCGATCTGCAACTCGCAACAGATAAAACACAAGAACCAATCAGCGTCATCCCGCACGCATTGAGCCTGCGAGCGGTGTCCTAGCTCCCATGTACACGCTGAGCCTGGCAAGCGGTGGTCTGGCTCTCATAGTCTCATGTATGAGCCCAAGCTTGGCAGTTGGCACATACAAGAAGTCAAGAACCAATTACCATGTAGTTTGCGCGTAGTATGATCTTATCCTGTTTTACTGGGAAGTCTTGTGTGTGCTATAGTTTTGGCAGAAACGTTTGCTAGAGATATGGCCATTTTAGTTTCAGCTAAACAATTCGGCATCACGACTCACTGTCATGATTAACTTGATTACTTCAAAGGAAAGCCATCCTAAGTTGCAATGCAGGTCAGTTTAAAACCATTTCTTTTTAAATAGTTCATTATCTGGAAAAGGGTATTTCAATTTCTCAGAAGCTCCTTCCACTTGCATCATATAAACGGATGTAAAGTTAAGCTGACCTCAGAGGTTGTCCAGAAGGTTGTCCATTTGATCGGTTTTGGAGCGCAGGAATCTTCCCAAAAGTTATACGTACAAATTTTTAAAAATAAATTGAATATTACAGTGCATTTGATCGGTTTGCGGATTTTTCCATCGAAATTATATCAAAAAAGTTATACGTCCAAATTTTTTTTCATATTAAATAAAATTGAATATTACTAGCACTTTTTGGAATGACTTGTCATATTTGGGATGGAGGGAGTATTTAAGCACACCACACCGGCCAAACACCCATCCTCCCCGCCAGGCCGCCACTAGCTTACGCTTATCCTACCTTCCAGTCTTCTTCCCTCCCTCCAGTCCATCCCCAACCCAAATCAGCGGCTGGCACGGACGCCACGCCGGCGAGCCGCGCGGCCGGAGGACCACTGCCTCCTGCATATCGCCGGTTTCCGCGGCCATGTCATCCGTCCACTTCTTCCCTGCTTCCTCCCAGACCCCGGTCCCCGCCCGCCTCCTCAAAACCTCCCCAAAGCCACCCCTCCCGTGCACCCGCACCCTGCCCACCACCGCTTTCCAGAGCGTCGGCGGCAATTGCAATGCGTGGCGCTGCCCGTACCGACGGCTGCGGCGGAGGGTCCGCACCCCCGCAGCGCCGGCCGACGCGCCGTCTGTGGGCCCCGACGGCGGGAGCGGGGGCGGCGGCGCCGGGGGAGGGAGCGGAGGGGAGGAGGAGGAGGAGGAGGAGGAGGAGGAGGAGGGGGAGAAGAAGGAGAAGGGGTTGCTGCCCGAGTGGATGAACGTGACCACGGAGGACGCCAAGACGGTGCTGGCCGCGGTGGCTATCTCACTCGCTTTCCGAACCTTCATCGCTGAGCCGCGCTTCATCCCCTCACTCTCCATGTTCCCCACCTTCGACGTCGGCGACCGCATCGTCGCCGAGAAGGTGTGTTTCCTCTCCATTCCCTCCATTTTCGGTTTTCGGTTTTATTCATGTGCTGAGCTCAGATGGCAACTTGGAACTCCGGTTGCTCAAATACCTAAGCATTTCGAATGAATTTTGTGCCTTTTTGACAAATGTATGCTGTTATGCACCATTAATACAAATTCAATGAAAAGGTAAAATGATATGTTGGTGGTATTGATTTTTTTTTCTTTGTGAATATGTGGTAGTTTCAATCTGGGTTACTGCTGTTTGCCTCAACTACCGTAGTCATGAGCTTATTTTTGTTGGGAGTTGATATCCTATAAGGCAGGACCTAAGTTTCCTATTTCACTTGTCTATAGCATATATGGGCTCAAATTATTCACTCAAGGTTTCATAAACTTTGCTGTCCACATTTTGTAGAAGCTCTTGGTGTGTAGCAACATCTTTGTTCAAATATGATGTTCTAATTTGGTTCTAAGTGAAACTACACATATTGACTACTATACATAAGAGCAATCTTCAGTCAATATGCTCTAAATCTCTTGTTAGTTGTTTTGTAGTTCAGGAGCCATTTAATTTGGATGCAACTCAAGAATTCAGTTCCAATATTTTCAGCATATTATATTTTTTAAACTGCGCTATGTTTTGTACATAATTCTTATGCCGAAGTACATGATGTTACCAGGAACTGGATTTTGTGGGTCCGTCAAGTGGTAACTGGTGCCTAATGGCTAATGCACTTCGAAGCTAATATTGCTTGGCTTTATCTAATTTTATCTTTTTATTAGTTGGTTTGTAGACTAGTTCACTTTAACCTTTCATATTTTCTAACTCGGATAATTTGTTTAATCCATTTGAATTTGCATGATGACACTATGGCCCACTATATTCTGGATATGTTTATCTTTGCTGAAAGATGAAATCTGATGTTAAGTAAGAAAATATATTATTTCATTGCATAATTGACCGTGTTAACATTTCTCAGGTTACTTACTACTTTAGGAAGCCATGCGTCAATGATATAGTAATTTTCAAAAGCCCGCCAGTGCTGCAGGTACTTGCAGGTACACATATGTGCATTGTTTTTTGATGATATATGTTGTTTGTTGATTTAGAATCTTGCATATTCCTTTTCAGGAGGTTGGGTATACTGATAATGATGTTTTCATCAAAAGAGTAGTTGCCAGGGAGGGCGATGTTGTTGAGGTTTGTTTCAAAATCAGAAACTATTCTATTATGAATGCCACTATATCTCTTGAGTGGAAAGACTCAATCATTTTCTCTTTGTCCCTGAATTCCTCTTTGAGACAAAACAATTAACTGTGCACAGATGATAGTTAGGATGCGGTATAGCAACAAGTTCTTAATGTTATTTGTTTTTCTGGTTTGTCTACTGCTTTTATTGTTCCATTGGTCGCATTTGTTACCTAAGGCATAAACCAAACAGGAGACCTTCTCAAATGTCATGTTGGAAGGAACTGAGGACCTGGTTGAATAGATGAGATTTGAATCCAAATCTTGAACTAAATCATCCTGGAGCAATCTCTTCCAAGCACCTCCTGATATTGTAATTCTCCATATAGAAGGAAAAAAGGATTTCCAAAATATGCATACGAAACAACTTTGTAATTTTATTACCATTCTATTGCTCCCTGTGCTTGCTATGTCCAACCTGTTGCTTCTTTACCACTTCTGCACGTCTGTCATGATGGAAGTCCTGTATTTCACCAAGTTCAACAGGATGGCTTTATCCCAAACACATGGTCACTTGGTTAGTCACCACTGTGTGGATGTTGAATTCAGCTGCAGGCAAACCTTTGTCTGCTTCATATCCATTCATACCAGGCACGATGACAGTGACTGTTGGTGTGGATACCAAATCTGAGGTCTTATTGTGATAAAAAAAAAATCTGAGGTCTTATTCTCCCAAGTTGGTGTCTGTTAGATATAGATGTATAGGTGTCTTTGCTATTTCCTCTTTGTGTAAGGGCTTCTATGCATATATGCCCATGTACATGTTTGGGCTGAAGCCCACCGGAATGCATTGAGTTCATTCACTCCTAACATGGTATCCAGAGCCGGTGTCTAGGTTTACCTCGCTGTTGCCAGTTGCGTGCCGCCGCATCGTTGCCGCCGCCATGAAAGTGCCCTCGCTTTGCTTCTCCAAGGCGCCGCCTGCTGCTCACAAGGCGCCATCCAGACGCCATCGCGATCACCGCCTGACACCGGCGTCGGTCGGGAGCTGGCCGCGCGTCGCGCCGACCTCATCATCGGGCGGCAGCGGCGCGCGCGTGCAGTGTGTCCCTCTCCGCTTCTTTGGTGGCCTGGTCGCTGCCTCCGGTGGACGCCAGACCTCCCCGGCTGCCGCCTGCTGCCCCTCCCCACGCCGGGCGCGGCCCTCTGGTTGAAGCCGCCCCTGCTCTGCTTCGCTCGGGGAACCAAGCGCGGCCCTGCCTGCTCGCCGCCGCCTTTCATGCCCTCTGCTCCGCTTCGCCGCCCTGCTCGGCTTCGCTCGCCGGGGAACGGTAGCGGCCCTCCGCTTCTCGCTCTGCTTTCTCTTGGAGCAGAGGAGCTGCTCTGCTCTGCTTTCTCTTGGAGTAGAGGATAGCTCCGTCCCCCCCTTTTGGTTTGGTTCTCTTTGCACTCTGAACTAGGATGGCTTCAAGTTCAGATCCTCAACCGGTTGTTGGTCTGCTTTCTCAGTCTTATGGGAATTGATTCCACGATGTCCGAAGAATTTTCAATGGCACTAATTATCGTGTTTGGGTTTCTCGCATGCGTTGGCATATGCGTGGTCTACGGCTTTGGGATTTTCTCATTGGTGAACTACCGTGTCCACCTTTACCCCTCCCCCCCCTGTGCGGCCGGTCTTTCCTCCCGCAATTTTAGGGCGATGATAAGAAGAAATTGCGTGATGAATATAATGATGATATGGCCTCATACATGTCTCGATTTGCAAAGATATCAGACTTGGTTGGATGAGGATGCTCGTGTGCAGTGCTGTTCTAACTGCTAGCATGGAGGAACATTTGACCGCCAATATTGTAGAGCTTGACTATGCTTCTCAGATGTGGGCTTTTCTTCACGGCGTTATATGAGCCCTCCTGGTGGGTCCACATACATTGCGTCTTTATGCCAAGAGCAGTTGTTGACCAACAGGTGATGCTACAATTGAGGAGTTCTTTAACAGCTCTCTCTGTGTGTGGCGTGAGCTTGACACTCTGAGTCCTCACCGTGTCCCCGCCACTTGTGAGTCTGCAGAAGCAACAGAGCCACCTTGAGCTTGGCAAGATCTACGATTTTCGACTCGTCTTCGTGCTTTGAGTTTGAGCCTCTTCGTGCCTGGATTACTAGCTCGTGAACCCTGTGTGTCCTCGATGGATGCTCTTGTCTGCTGTTCGGAATGAAGAGATCCGTCTTTGTTCTGCTAGCTTGCTGCAGTCAGCTGCCTCGTCAGTGCTGGCTGTTCGCTCTGCACCTCCATCCATGACAACTTCTGGACGTCCTACACCCCTCCCTACAACACCTTCGTCGGTGGTGCCCTCCTCTCGGGAGTGGTAGTACTGGTGGACTTTCTTTGCAACTCTTGTGAAAAAGATGGACATGTTGAAGATTATTGTTATAAGAAGAAGAAGAAGGAGAAGGCTCATTCAGCGCCGAGGTGGTCGTTCCTCACTGGGGTTCGATCGTTCTCTTGTTGGACCCTTTTCGAGTAGCTTATTTGGTTCTAAGACACAGGAGATACTTATGTTGCTTCGTCGCCTAGCTCCCTCTCTGTACTTCTTTGGAGCTGCTAGTTCTGTCTACCCCAGCCTCTGCACCTTTGGTTTCTGCTGTTGCCTCACAGTCTTCCACTGGGCAACCACCGTTCACTTCAGGTACTTTGCCATGGATTCTTGATTCTGGTGCTTCTTTTCATATGACCTCTGATTATATCAGTCTTTCTTCCATTCGTCCTCCTTCTACTCCTATCACTGTTCAGACCGCCGGCGGCTCACCTCTCCCTGTTCTTGGACATGGCACTCTTTTGTCCTCCTCTTTTCATGTTCCTACTGTTTCATCTGTCCCCAATTTGACCATGCAACTTATTTCCGCTGGCCAGCTCACTGATCATGGTTGTCGTGTTATTTTTTATTCTGACTCTTGTCGTGTCCAGGATCTCAACACGGGTCTCCTGGTTGGTACTGGCCCTCGCCGCCGTGATTCTCGGCGTCTTTGGGAACTTGGTAACCCGTCTTCCTTCCGCCGCCTCTGCCGGTCTTGTGGGCTCGCTTCTCTCCAGATCGGCTTCTTCATCTTTTGCTCAGTGGCATCATCGATTGGGACATTTATGTGGTTCCCGGTTATCCACTCTTGTCCGTCGTGGTCTTTTGTGGAATGTTTCTGGTGATGTTTCTTTAGATCAGTGTCAGGGTTGTAAGCTTGGCAAACAGCTCCAACTTCCATATCCCTCTAGTGGGTCAGTGTCACAGCGTCCCTTTGACCTTGTTCATTCTGATGTATGGGGTCCTGCACCCTTCGTTTCAAAAGGGGGTCATGAATATTATGTCATATTTATCGATGATTTCTCTTGCTTCACATGGGTGTATTTCATGAAACATCGTAATGAGGTGTTATCCATATATAAGATATTTGCTCAGATGATTCGTACTCAATTTGACACTCCTATTCGTGTTTTTCGTGGCCGACTCACTTTGGGAGTATCTCTCGGTCGCGCGCCGCCAATTTCTTTTTCGAAAGGTGGCACTCTTTCTCGATTTTCTTGTCGGTGCGCTTGCACGCTTTCGAATGGTGTTCTTTGGCGTAAACATCGCCACCTTCTTGAAACTGCTTGTGCTCTTATGATTGCTTCCTCTGTTCCACCTCATTTTTGGGCTGATGCGATATCCACTGCCACTTATTTAACTAATATTCAGCCTTCATCTGCTCTTCAAGGTGGAATCCCATATGAGCGCCTTTGTGGCAAGCCACCAGATTTCTCCAGTCTTCACCTTTTTTGGGTGTCTTTGCTATGTCCTTCTTGCTCCTCGTGAACGCACTAAGTTGACATCTCAATCTGTTGAGTGTGTTTTCCTGGGCTATAGTGTTGAACACAAGGGATATCGTTGTTGGGACCCTGTTGCTCGTCGTATGCGGATTTCTCGGGACGTTACTTTTGACGAGTCTCGCTCATTCTATCCTCGGCCTACCTCTGATGTTTCTCCCCAGACCGTTGTTGAGCCTCTTTCCTTCTTGATCTTTCCGGATACACCTATCTCCACTGTGTTTCTTCCTCCTCCACCATCTCCTCTTGCACCCTCTCCTTCGCTGCCTTCTCAGGCGCCTTCACATGTTCCTTTTAGGTCCATTTATGATTTCAAACCCCCTATGATTCACACCTACAGTCGTCGCCTCCAGAATCCCTCGCCTCCTGTTGAGGCGTCTCCTGATGTTTCACCTCCGGTTGAGACATCTTCGGTTGCGGATATTTCCTCTCAGCCATCCTCTCGTTATGATCTTCGTGATCGTGGGTCGCTAAAGCCTACAAACCGGTATGGTTTTGCTGGCACTGTTCTTTCTGAGCCGGCCACATACCATGATGCCATTTGTCATCCAGAATGGCAACATGCCATGGCTGAGGAGATTGCTGCTCTAGAGCGCACTGGCACTTGGGATCTTGTTCCTCTTCCTTCTCATGCTCGTCCCATCACGTGTAAGTGGGTTTATAAGATTAAGACTTGCTCAGATGGCTCTCTCGAGCGTTATAATGCCCGTCTTGTTGCTCGTGGTTTTCAACAGGAGCATGGTCGCGACTATGATGAGACCTTTGCTCCTGTGGCTCACATGACCACTATTCGCACTCTCCTTGCGGTGGCCTCTGTTCGTGCCTGGTCCATTTCTCAACTCGATGTCAAAAATGCCTTTCTTAATGGTGAACTCCATGAGGAGGTCTACATGCGACCACCTCCTGGGTATCTTGTTCCTAATGGCATCGTTTGTCGTCTTCGTCGCTCTCTTTATGGACTGAAACAAGCTCCTCGCGCTTGGTTTCAGTGCTTTTCCTCTGTGATCGCGGCTGTTGGTTTTTCTCCGAGTGCTCATGACCTTGCCTTGTTTGTTCATAATTCATCTCGTGGCCGCACTCTTCTTCTTCTTTATGTTGATGATATGCTCATCACTGGTGATGATTCTGAGTATATTGCATTTGTGAAGGCGCGTCTCAGTGAGCAGTTTCTCATGTCCGATCTTGGCCCTCTTCGTTACTTTCTTGGGATTGAGGTCTCTTCAACCTCTGATGGCATTTATCTGTCCCAAGAAAAGTACATTCAAGATCTTCTTGATCGTTCTTCCCTCACTGATCATCGCACTGTTGAGACTCCCATAGAGCTTAATCTTCATCTTCGCACAACTGATGGTGAACCTCTCACTGATCCCACTCGATATCGTCATATTGTTGGGAGTCTTGTCTATTTAGGTGTGACTCGTCCTGACATTTCATATGCTGTGCACATTCTTAGTCAGTTTGTTTCCGCTCCCACTCACCTCCACTATAGTCATCTTCTTCGTGTCTTGCGTTACCTTCGTGGGACCATTACTCGCCGTCTGTTCTTCCCACGCTCTAGCTCTTTTCAACTCCAAGCCTACTCCGATGCTACTTGGGCTAGTGACTCTTCTAATCGTCGCTCTCTTTCAGCCTATTGTGTTTTTCTCGGTGGTTCTCTCATTGCTTGGAAGACTAAGAAGCAGACCGCGGTTTCTCGTTCGAGTGCAGAGGCTGCGTTGCGAGCTATGGCTCTTGTGTGTAACGGCTTCTATGCATATATGCCCATGTACATATTTGGGCTGAAGCCCACCGGAATGCATTGAGTTCATTTACTCCTAACAGTGTCAACAGTTACTGTCTGCTGGTTTCCATATATTTACGTTTACCACAGCTGATTGTTTTCTGTTGCATGCTAGAATTATCCACAACGTATTCTTTTTTTCCACAACGGCATGCTAGAATTACCAAGGACTCATAAAAGTGATTTAGTCTTAATAAGTACTTATAATAGTGGAAGAGATAAGAAGAAAAACGTACTATTAGTTCATTCAAATTGCATTATTCATGGTTAATCCTATTGTTGATGTGAGTTTATGTTCAAGAAATTGCCATAGATATTAAGTACTTGTTTATTTGTATGTTACTGCACAATTTTCTTATGTTTTGTTGCCTGGTGCGTCGCAGGTTCACGAAGGAAAACTTGTTGTGAATGGTGAGGCTAGAAATGAAGAATTCATTCTTGAGCCACCTTCTTATAACATGAACCCTGTGGTATGATTTTTCTGGGCTGCTCATGGGTAACATGTGAAATCCCCACACCCCGCAACACTTTCTATGACAAACAAATGGCAGATACAATAATTACATTTTGTTGGACTACAGACTCCCTGCAGTCCCAGCAGTGACTGTATTGTTGTTTGATAGATGAATTTATAGGTTATGTGACGTGCTCTTAAAATTTGTCACTTCATGAAAAAAATGCATTTTGAGTGGCTCAATGCCATGTTATGAATAAGACAAAGCTGATATATTTTGAATCACATTAGTCAATGAAATTTGAGTTGCATCTTTCTTGAGAACACCCACCCAATTGAATGCAAATGCCTAGCAACATGCACAGATTAGTTGTTGTATAAATAGGGTTTCTTTTGCTTTATGCATGAATGATGTCTTTATGCTAGAATTTACTTTTCCAATGCTTGTAAAAGCATGCTGATTTTTCATGTTTTTTTTTTGTTTACTTGACCATGTGATGCAGCAAGTACCAGAAAACTCCGTTTTTGTGATGGGAGATAATCGAAACAACAGCTATGATTCACATGTGTGGTAATACGTCAGTTCCATTCAAATTTCTGTTTTATTTTCTCATGTTGCCACTAATGCCATTTCAGAATTTGAATTTAATTGACTGGCACCATTGCACAACCTTTGCAGGGGCCCTCTTCCAGCAAAGAACATATTGGGGAGATCAATTTTTCGGTACTGGCCTCCTGGTCGAATAGGGGGTACTACCAAGGGTTGCTTCAACCCTGAATTAAACCCTGAAACAAAACCAGGATCGCTTATTGATGTCAAATTGACAAAGTAGGAAGTTGATTAGTTTTGGTGGTGCCTGATGTGTAGTGGAAACTTCCCACTTTAGATTATTCCTCTTTTGGTAGAATGTCACGGAGGAATCCTTTGTGGCATGTAGCTCCGTTAGAAATCAGAGAGTATTAAGACATTTCATTCTCATTGGATTGGAATGAATGGCCAAAAGGCACAGAAACCATTTTGTCTCAGGGTTTCTTGGCCTTTTGCCTTGTTGTATACTAGGGAAACTTGATATCATCTTCTGTTTTTTGGAAGATGCCTCCTAATCAAGCTGGAAAAAATATGGTCCCACTGTTGAAATCTAGAGTTTGGAACATGATGAAATCCGTGTATGACATGAGACGCAAGTAAAATGTACATCCTGTAATGGAGAACATGTTCATTCAGCGTGCTATGCCGTGTGGTTGAACAGCGCAGGGAAACTACCACGGATGTAGTAATTTATGATACCTTATGGACTACAGTCCGTGGTTACTATGCTGTCTTAGTTCGGTCCAAAGCCAAACTTCTTTAATTTTATCTTTTTTTTGTTGCGAGGATTGTTTAATTTTATCTAAACAATTAAACAGCAGAATGTATGAAGTATGATACCGAATGAATATACTATATATCAAGATATAATTGACGGTAGATTTAACAGAACTATTTTGATATATTTGATGGTAGACTTGATAAAACTAATCTGACATTGTGCGCTCTAAATACTGTCACTGTCTGTCTAACTTCCTCAGTCGAACAGCATCTCACTGCTCCCCAGCCATGAACTCGATTGTCTTCCTGTACGGCGAATCTCCCCAATCATGCATTTGCATCAAGGGGCGGAAACAAACTGCTGCATCTGCCACTGGATTGGTTGCCACGGCAACGAATCCCAAAATGGATTCCCGGGCAGACCCCCTCACAGAACGTGAACGACCCGATCGATTATGACATGGCTGCACTGAGGAGCTAGCGCACATGCGAGCAGACACCAACATGACACGATAAGGCACCGTCCTTTTTGCGCATCAGCACACCTCACCTCCACCCCCTGGCTTTGCGCAGGATCAACCTGCTCACACTCCTCTTCAAGTCTTCATCTTGATCCCTGCGCATGTGCCACGAGGGGTCCAGGGAGATGACGGCCCTTTTTGCTCAGTTGCTGCGCCCAGTCGCCACACGCTAACCTTTTCCATCCCCAGGTCGTACTGCACGTACGCGCCCGTCGTTTGCGTTGCGATATATAACAATCACCATTCGTCGTATCTCGGCTGCCTCGATCGCTATTCGACCATACATATCCAGCAACCGTTAGAGAGGAACCGTGTGATCGATCCATCTCGATCAATCACTAAGCCAGACACGCACACATGTCCGGAGCTCCTTACGCCCGCGCGGCGCACGCGTTAGCGCTGGCCATGGTGGCCGCCGCCGCAGCGGTCGAGGCGCAGACGGAGTGGCTCAGGGCGCATGCCACGTTCTACGGCGGCCCGGACGCCTCCGGCACCATGGGTAAGCTAAGCTAAGCTAAGCAGCCTCTTATTGTTAACTGCATGCGAGCTGACGACGAACGCCACTGGAATTCACTCTTCTGTCGTATCGTATGCATGCATGAGCAGGGGGCGCGTGCGGGTACGGCAACCTGTTCGCGCAGGGGTACGGCACGCGGACGACGGCGCTGAGCACGGCGCTCTTCTCCGGCGGCGCCTCCTGCGGGCAGTGCTACAAGCTGGTGTGCGACCGCAAGACGGACGCGACGTGGTGCAAGCCCGGCGTGTCCGTCACCGTCACGGCCACCAACTTCTGCCCGCCCAACTGGAAGCTGCCCGACGGCGGGTGGTGCAACGCGGTGCGGCCCCACTTCGACATGGCGCAGCCCGCGTGGGAGAAGATCGGCGTCTTCAGCGGCGGCATCATCCCCGTCATCTACAAAAGGCACGTAATTAACCACATGGGGATCGATCGATGCAGGAACTACTTCAACCCGATCTGCAGATGATTAAACACATTTGCCTGCTGCATGCAGAGTCTCTTGCGTGAAGAAGGGTGGGGTGCGTTTCACCGTTAATGGCCACGACTACTTCAACCTGGTGCTGCTCACCAACGTCGCGGGGCCGGGATCCATCAGGGCCATGGACGTCAAGGGCTCGCAGCCCCCGGCGGAGGACTGGATGCACATGGCGCGCAACTGGGGCGCCAACTGGCACTCCCTCGCCTACCTCACCGGCCAGGGGCTGTCCTTCAGGGTCACCGTCACCGACGGCCAGACCATCGTCTTCACCGACGTCGTGCCGCCCAAGTGGAGGTTCGGCCAGTCCTTCGCCAGCACCCTGCAGTTCAAGCTGTGATCTGTGTGCAGAGCTAATTCAACCCGTATGTACCATACCACCGTGCGTGATCGATCATATTTGTTTGCATGTGTTGTGATGTACATAAAGAGATTTACTGATTTCGTAATTATCTATGCGTAAATTAGTAAGTCCCATATTTTTTTTCCTTTGGATTACAGGTGAGCAAAACGAATTCTTATTATTGATGATTTGGGCCACTAATATAATTAACTTGTTTGTTAGGATGGCTCGATTTGGTTGTCACATGACTTGTTGAGACTTGTGAGAGCTCATTAACCACTTCTATAGGAACTTTGGCTCGATTTGGTTGTCACATGACTTGTTGAGACTTGAGACAGCTCATTAACCACTTCTGTAGGAACTTTCTGGCATGAAAATTAAAATTAAAATTGTTATTTTTTTTTGCGCTTGTATGTGTCATGCACATAAATAGATTTATTACTGATTTCATAAAACTCTGCTGAAATTAATTATTCCGATGTTTCTGATTACCTGACTCAATGATTACTGCTTTATTATATTACGCTGATAATGATCTTATTTATTAGTAACCTGAAAGAGCAAAATTTATACCCAAAGATGGAATTCATATCACTCCCATCGAAAGATTAAGTTGAAACGTCTATTTGTGGAATTATTAGCAACAAACCCATATATCTGGTGCTGTCCCAAAAGAAGCAGAATGTATTGTGAGATTTGAGAACAAGTGGTTGTTGTTGTAGTAGATACCAAACTGGAGTACAATAATACTCCTCTCGATGAACTATCAACAATGAGATATAGCTTTTCCCATAAACAACCTACTTACAATATTACTCCTTTATCTCTGAATAAATTTGTCGGTGCAGAAAGTGACCAACACGTAAATATTTGTAGTTTTGCCGTACGTTGTGATCGGATGTGGCTTAGCACTCAATGACACAGGGTTTATATTGGTTCAGGCAACGTGCCCTACGTCCAGTTTAAGTCGGTCGGTGACTTTATTCCTGAGCCCAGGTGCTTGAAGTTTGCTGTGGGGTTACAAACGAGAAGGAGAAAGATGGGGGGTGTAAGAGGCCCGGTCGGACTCCGGACTGAAGGGCCGAGAGTAACAGGAGCTCCTACGTGCGCTAAGTATTCGAGCGTGTGCTCTGTGTATCTGTGAGATTGATCGTCGTGAATCCTTCGATCGTCGGAGAGTCGTCCACTGATCTGTTGGAGAGTCGTCCACTGATCTGTTGGAAGTCATCGTTATTGGAAGAGAGCGCATCCCCTTTTATAGATGAAGAGGACGGCCTTACAAGCGGCGAGAGAGAGAGAGAGTACGTATGCTACTAAGTCTTGTTGCCCAAGCCGTCGGGTACGAGATGATGGTAGGCGCCCACAATACTGTTTATGTCAGACGTATGTGGGAGGTTTTTACCGCATTCACCATGTATGGCAAATGACGGCGCCCATAACACCCTTGATGCCCAGAGACATGTGGGGGGTCTTACCGTGTTTGCCTGGTATGGGGATTGATGGTGCCCATAACACTGTAGGGCAAAACATCGGCGCCTACAACACTGCTTGGGTTCTGACATGACTGGAAGGTTGCAGGGCATCCTTCTGACATGTCATGTCGGTACTGCAGGTGTACAGGGTACAATCCTTGGTATTGTGGTTGACTTGATTGCCCTGCCTTACTTGCTCCGTCCGTTTCCTGGTCCTCACCGAGCGGGCGTCCCCGGTCGGTTGGTCCCAGTCGGCTCTGACTATGCCGGTTGGAGAAGAGCTGTAAGCAGAGGTTCGGTGCATCCCCGGTCGGAGAGGGGGGCCGGAGTCGAAAGTGAGCGCTGTTCCTTCTCGGCCAGGCCTTCCGGTCGGAGAGACGGGCCGGAGTCGGAAGCAAGCGTTGTTCCTTCTCAGCCAGGCCTTCCGGTCGGAGAGGCGGGCCGGAGTCGGAAGCGGGTGTTGTTCCTCTTGGTCAGCCCTTCTGGTCGGAGATTGGATCTCCCTTCTGGCCTATCGTTAGGTATTTGGGCCAGTCTAGGAGTTGCTCGTCGTTCACAACGTCGTCTGCTGGGCCAAGCTTTTGCTGGAAAGAAGGTCCATGAGGGACCCCGGGTTTATGAACCCGACAAAATTAATTGCTAGAGTTGTTTTAAGTTAAACTTTTTAATGTTTGGCCAAATTTATAAAAAAAATTTATAAATACTTGTGGCATTAAATAACACATTATGAAAATATAGTTTATGATACTAATTAATTTGGTGCCATAAATTCGGATGCTCTTTTATATAAATTTTATTAGAATAACCATAGGAATTGATTTGTTTCAGTATAACGACTTTTGCCAAGAGAAGTAAGTGGATCTGAACTAACGCACTGGCCAGCGTAACCTAGCTAGCTTGAGTAGCAAGCACAGTGTTGACTTTGACTCTGCTATGTATGTACACTGCGAAGCAATACGTGGTGTGGTGTTGAGGGTTTCTCAAGGCTCTCACAGCTTTACGTACGCACGTAGCACGATTAAGGCCTTGTTTGTTCCTCTAAAAAATTTATATCATATCCCATTAAATGTTTGGACATATGTATATAGTATTAAATATAGATTAAAAAAATAATTAACTGCACAGATAGCGACTACTTTACGAGACGAATCTTTTAAGCCTAATTAGTCTATGATTTGCAATAAAGTGCTACAGTAACACATATGATAATGACGGATTAATTAGGCTTAATAAATTCGTTTCACGGTTTACTGAAGGCTTCTGTAATTTATTTTTTTATTAGTATCCGAACACCCCATGCGACACCCCATATAACACCCGATGTGACACCCAAAAAATTTACAATATGGAATTAAACAAGGCCTAAACGTCGGAAGCAATGTGCCATACTGTACTACTACTACCGTGTCCGTTTATCACTTCCTTTTTCCCGCATTGATCGGTCTCACCAATCAGCGAACGATGTTCAACCTCTATGGGAACCATAGGCGCCCTCAACGTCTGAATTAACAGAGGGACTCTGTCCCAAAACGTGCTTGCTCCTGTCTTTTGCGTGTCGTTGCTGCCGTCCCACCCGTCCTCTACGTCGTTGCCGCGCCCCACCCTGCCCTCTATGCGTTATCGCACAACTCCATACAGTGTCACCGAGCTCCGCGTTGCCGGCGAACTCCACATCGCCGAGATCCGCGCCACCAGCAAGCCCTGTGCCATTGAGGTCCACGCCAGTGACCCCCACGCACAACCGCCGAGCTCTGCGTGCCGACGAGCCTCCGTTCGCCCAAGTAGAAGGAAATGTTGCTCTTGAAAGCCTATGTTGCAAGCTTATGTTTTGAATGTTTCAAGTGCTTCAGGCGCATGTTGCAGGTGTTGTGTTTCCAGATGTTGCAACGCATTGTACATGTTTCAACAATAAGGTGCTTCAGACGCATGTTGCAGGTGTTGTGTTTCCAGATGTTGCAATGTATTGTACATGTTTCAATAATAATCCGGACATGTTTCATTAGTACATCGTCGATGTTGCAGCGATGGACCCTAAGGGTCCGTTCGGGCGCTAGTTCTGCCCTATGGGAATGGTTGGAAGAGTACGGGAGTTCAACAAGACAACAACGCTGCAAGTTTGCCTTAAGAGAGAGAGTGAGTGTGGTTTCGATGTAATAATCTGCTTCAGGACACATGCTTAGTCTGGGAGCAATGTCCGTGAGGGTAATGAACGTTCTATTTAAAAATAAAAGCGGGAGACCTTTTTTTATCTAAGCAAAAGAATTCCCGGACCCAGCACAGGTGTACAACGACTCGTCATGGACTTCGAAAATGAAGTACACTTGGGCTATTCGGTCTGATGGGCTAAAGTTTTAGGCCTGTTGTGTCACACAGGCAAACTGTTCTATCGCAAGGGGCCATAGGAACGGCCCTAACCTTGCTAAAAGAAGGAACGGCCCTAAACATGGTGAATCAGGGAAAGAGAGGACACATTGCAAATTATGAAAATAATACTTGTGTCGTGATTTACAGCAATTGCCACATCAAATAGACCCCTTGATGCTGCATACAAATTGAAAGGAAGATTGTACTTTGATGTACATCAAACAGTAATAGTGATATACACAATGCGTGGAGGAGCTGGAACCGGTGAAGCAAATATAGTGGCTTTACCAACTCCTAGTTCTAATAGAAGAGAGAAAAATAATTTATTGCTACAGTACACACTCGCGCTCGCCGGAGAAGCAACACACATATCATCACATCACATATATAGCGTTAACCCCGCCGACGCTGCCAACGAGCACAACTCCTGCCGGCCCCCGCCGAGAACCCTGCCGACGCCTCCAACGAGCAGTCTGCCGTGGATCCCACGCCGCCACCGAGTTCGCCGACGACTACGTGTTCGATCGCATCCCCTTTCCCCGGTCATATTCCCCAGGCATGCAAACAGCCTTCTATCTACTCTCTAGGCGAACACTGGGTTTAGGGTTTTTGACAGCTTTGCGGTGTTTCCCTGGGTTTAGGTGGTGCTCGTGCTTGCGCAGTGCGGTGGTGACGCGCTGAACACGCAGAACCAGGAGGGTGCTCCTGCTTGAGCGAGGTACGAGACCAAACCGATAAGTGTGGTCGGTCTCTACTATTTTTTGCTACGGATTTCTAAGATTAGTTAGCGCAAAACTGGTAGCACATGACGGAATTGATGTCTTGGTTTTTACTGAAAACATTGTTTTCTAGGTCCACTTCTGACGTTGCATGTTGAGTATTTTGAGTTTCTAGATTCTTTTTTTCTAACTTTAGTTTCTAGATTCTATTTTAGCGTGGTGCCGTGGTGAAGTGCCCTCTCATTTCTCGTTTAATAACTGCCTACACGCTTAATCCAAATGAGTCCTTCAATGCTTGTGTTTGTTTTATATAAATCATAAAGATTAGTATGTACACAATTTATTTATTACCATTGTGTTGATATATATATATATATATATATATATATATATATATATATATATATATATATATATATATATATATATATACTTTTTCTTT